TCAATCCTCCTTTGTGTGGTCGTTTCACTTTACAAAAGCTGAACTAGTTTCTATCAGCTCAGCTGATGTGATCTTCCTCCTATCAAAGGTGTTTAACAGCCTCAGTGCTGTGTACTGAACTGAAATTGTGTCAAGTTCTGCACTGCTTCATGGCAAGTGGGAATGTTTGTTACAGCTGTCTTTAGATTTAAATTGGGCTGTTTTAAATGAATTAAATATGAACATGAATAATGCAGTTGGGAACCTTAGCCTTGCTGCAATTAAATGCAAACTTTTTGTCTCTCTGCTTTCAGGTTTTGCTATGCCTCAGTGTTTGTACTCACTCTGCTGTCCTGGAGGAGTGATGGGGAACTAGAGCCCATGACAGTACAGTGGAGCCCTTGGCACTTTTGATATCTGAGTAAGTGGAAGTTGTTTGAAATTCTGGGAAAGGCACTTTATCTGCTACTAAAGGCAGCAGAGCAGTTGGCCTTTGTACATTTTGGAGGTAGCATCCTGTTGAAATGAATTTGTGCATGGATCTGTCCTTTCAGGCTACACCAACACCCTCTAACACTTGAGGTCTGTGCTTGTGAGATTATCTTGATTTCCACAAGCAGGAGAAACAGCTTTGAAAACAAGTGCAGTTGAACTCTGGTGTGCAGCTCTGTGTAAGTGTCAGGATCTGGAGCATTGCAGCTTGTGCTGCAAATCTCAAGGGCTTTATTTGCTGCAACAGTCATAGAACCATCAGGATTGGAGGAGACCTCTAAGATCATTGAGTCCAACCATTAACCTGTCCCTGCTGTAACCCCTAAACCCTAAACCATATCCTCCAGTGCCTCCAGGTGCCTCTTAAACCCCTCCAGGGCTGGTGACTCCACCACCTCCCTGGGCTATATCCCAGTGCCTGAACACCCTCCCAGGGAAAACATTTTCCCTAACATCCAATCTGACTCTGCCCTGTCTCAGCTCAAGGCCATTCCCTCTAGTCTTCTCCCTTCAGCCATAGTAGGAGAGACATCTCCCACCTCTCTGCAAGCCCCTGTCAGGGAGCTGGAGAGAGCCATGAGGTCACTCCTGAGCCTCTTCTCCAGGCTAACCAAGCCCAACTCCCTCAGCCCTTGCCCATGTGCTCTAGCCCTTTGCTGCCCTCGTTGCCCTTGGCTGGACTCTCTCCAGTGCCTCAATGGCCTTTGGGCAGTGAGTGCCCAAAGCTGAGCACAGCACTGAGCTGGGACCTCCCCAGTGCCCAGTCTAGGGGGATGATCACTTGATCAGATTGTGTTCTCTGTGCCATGGACCCACCTGACCAGTGCCCATCAGGGGCCTGTTTGTGTCTGAGGTCATTCCAGCAGGTCTGGCTCTGTGGATAGCCCACTTTCCCCCCTTGAATAACAAACTGTAGGGTCTGCTATTTATTACTTTCATATCTTTTTAGTCTTCAGTCCCCGAAGGGATTAAAGGCCACATCAGTCAATACCACAGTGCTCCTGTGAGCTTGCCTGTTCTGCTGTTCACTTGCTTCACTCCACACTGAAGTCTGTCCTCACTGAGGCATTCCAGCTTTGCCAGAGCCTATAGCCTCGTGCTTTCCAGTCTGTTGCCAGTGAGATAAAATCATCGCGTGTTTCAGACTGGAAGGAACCTTTGGAGGTTGTTTGGTCAAGCCCCAAGCAGAGCTGGGCTGGCTTTGAAGTCAGGCTCAGCTCCAGAGTTGGATCAGGCTGCTCTGGGCAGGAGCTAGTGCTGGTTGGAGTATCTCCAAGGGTGGAGATTTTACAGCTCCTCTGAGCAGCTATAAATTACAGCCAGTGAGAAGTATCAATTCCCAAGCTCAAGTGTCATTAAAGCCTGGGGACAGCAGAGGGACCAGGGACAGGACCCAGGGAACGGCTGGACCTGTGTCAGGGGAGGGTTAGGCTGGAGATTAGGCAAAGGTTCTTCCCCCAGAGGTGTTTGGGCACTGAACAGCTCCCCAGGGCAGTGGTGACTGCCCCAAGCCTGACAGAGCTCAAGGAGAGTTTGGCCAGTGCTCTCAGGCCCAGGGTGGATTGTTGCAGGGCAGGAGTTGGACTGGTGATCCTGGTGGGTCCCTTCCAGCTCAGAATATTCTGGGATTCTGGCACATTCAGGAGGGCTGAATGGCTCCATGGCTAAAGAAGGACATCCAGGGACATCCCTGGACCTGCCCCTATCCCAGGGATACAGTGCCTCCCATCTGGCTGTTGGGGTGGGCAGGTTGAAGCTTTGTGTGATGGAGTTTGGCTCTGCCTCTCCTCTGGGCACTGCAGGGCTCTGAGCACACTAATTATTTTGCATATTTTTTGTGTTGTGTTTTTGCAGGCTGAATCCATGTGTTGCTGTCCTGTGGTGTGAGATGGACAGGGGGGCTGAGCTGTGGTGGAGGGGAGCAAAGGGTGGCAGGAGTCAGGCTGGGGCTGTCACATTCCTTGGGAGCATGTTTTGGAGTGCAGTGTCCCTGGGCTGGCACTCATGTGGCTCTCAGTGGAGCTGGAGGCCTAGTGTAGCTTAAGTCTCCCTCTTTGGGGAAGAATCACCATTTATTTGTATATTATCATTATTTATGTGTTCATTATTTGTTAGGAACTGCAGGGACAGGACAAAGAGGAATGGGGAGGAATTGGGAGAGGGAAAGTGATATTAGATCTTAGGCAGAAGTTTTTGCTGTGAGGATGGTGAGACACTGGCACAGGTTGCCCAGGGAGGCTGTGGCTGCCCCAACCCTGGCAGTGTTCACAGCCAGGTTGGCTAAAGCCTTGAGCAACCTGGTGTGGTGGGAGGTGTCCCTGCCCAGGGCAGGGGGTTGGGGCTGGATGGTCTCTAAGCTCCATTTCAACCCCTTCACATATTAGGATTCTAGGATTCTATGATTTACTTACTTATTTTAGTAGGGGTGACATTTCCAACCTCTGATTCTCTCTGGTGTGAGATCTTGCTGGGAGCCTGCTGCAGCATGACACCAGCAGTCAGCTCTGTGCTTTACCAGTATCACAGAATCACAGAATTACAGAATCATTGGGGTTGGAAAAGACCTCCCAAGATCATTGAGACCAAACACCACCACATCCTCTAGACCAGGGCACATGCCAGTCCACGTGCCATGTCCTGTTGTTCCTGGAGCACCTCCAGGGATGGTGTGCCATGTCCTGTTGTTCCTTGAGCACCTCCAGGGATGGTGACTCCATCACCTCCCTGGGCAGAGCATTCCAATGCCTGACAACTCTTTCCACGGAGCAGTTCTCCCTGATGTCCAGCCTGAACCTCCTCTGGCACAGCTTGAGGCCATTTCCTCTTGTCCTGTTCCCTGGGAGCAGAGCCTGACCCCACCTGGCTGCACCTCCTGGCAGGAGTTGTGGAGTGCAGTAAGGTCTCCCCTGAGCCTCATGACGGTTATTCCATTTGCCTGAGGGTGGAGGGTACAGGAGAGCACCCTTATCCCAAGCCACAGCCTTCCACAGATCCTCTCTGAGCAGCTCGAACGTGGTCACAACTCTTCTCCCAACACTTCTGCAGGGAATGTCACACATCCCTGCAGGGCTCTGAGGTGCTCCAACTGGAGCAGCTTTTCATAAGCCCTTGGAGTGGCACAGGAACACCTGTGAGATTTATGTGTTCAGGTACTTCAGAAAGTGCTCCAGAGAGCAGAGGGGCAGAGCCAGGGGTGGGGAATGCCTGTCTGGTGCCTTTTAGAACACTTTTCAGCCTGGGCTTTATGGCTGGGCAAATTTCCTGCCAGCACTGCTGGTCTTTAATAAAAGGGACTGCAGAAAATCATGAAAAGAAGCTTTAAAAGTTGTAAATAACCTTTCACATGTAGGTTGCCTTCTGCTATTGTAAGGAAAAGAAACTTTACCCCTTTCATAAGTGTGCACAGACACATGCAGTATTTAGGAGAGGCACTAAGAGACTACTGTGCACCTTTGGGTTTAGAGTTAGGAGCAACCAGGGAGTTTTTTCCTTTAGAATTTAATAGTCCTGTAGTATTTTCCTTCTCAGAGTGTTGCATGTAAAGGCTGTAGGGCTGCTCTAGAAAATTAAACTCTTCCTTTCTCTTAGGTTTGGAAAAATCCTGCTTTTCTGGATCCCAACTTCTCCCCAAGTTGGATCTGTAAATAACCCTTTAAGCAGCAACTCAGCCCTGAGACAGCTTTTGCTTCCATCCTCCTCCTGTCTGCCCCACTGCGAACAAAATGGACTTAGATTGACACAATTAATCTTTCATGAGTTACTGGAGTGTCAAAACATGCTTTTCCTGGCTTTCCTCAGGGCTTGTTTGTGGCTCAGCTATTCATTTGGGTGTTTTCTGGGAGGGCTTGGTGTGTGCAGCAGGCACCGAGCATGGACTCCCTCTGTGTGTCCAGAACACACCTCTCAGCAACTCTGATTTTCAGGAATATTTGCCTATAACAAAACTGCAAATGCTTTTGCTTGTTGAGGACAGTCCAGGCAAGGAAAGAAAATGCAGAGCAACTTGGCCACTCATGGCAGTGCTAACAGCAAAAGTATTTCCTGGGTCATTGTCCAATTTCTCAGCCTTATTCCCCAGAAGTGCTGTGAGCAATTTCAATTGCAAGTGATGAGCTGGGCATTGCCTGAGCTAATGTTATGTTTCCATGTGTTTTCTTTCATAATTTTTAGCTCTGCCTCCCCTAGTGAGTAGGAGCAGCTCCTCCTTCCGTGGACATGGAGATGGGACTGTGCTCCTCACACTTAGTTATGTGTGTATCCTGCTGCCATGAGTTTGAATTTGTCCAAAAATTGGGGAAGTCTTGTAGTTTCAGGGGGTGGAATGAGCTGTGTGTGTGCACTTGGAAATGCTTCGTGCAACCCTTGGTGACAGAGTGTGTGTTTCCCCCCACAGTGTGCTGAGTTAATGGTGCAGATGACTCTCTGCTCCAAAAGGAGGAATCTTCTAATCTGTGTTTCTTTTGTCCTAGACATCTGCAGTTCTCCAGGAGCAAGCCAGTGCCAGGAGCAGGCCAGCAGCAGGTGGTAGAATGCGGAAACCAGGCCCTCAGAAAGGTGAGCAGTGCTGCCTGGCACAGCCAAGGGCACTGAGCCCCTGTTACCTGGGGGATGTGTGCTTGGAAGCCCAAAACTGAGCTGTGTGCAGAGAACACTTAAACCACACACAGTCCACCCCTGAGCCAGGCAGATGCCAGGGCAGTCCTGCAGCTCCTGGAGCACAGGGTCAGCACTGAGGGTGCTCTGCAGAGCTCACAGCAACACCATCTGCAGTGCTCCCAGCGTGAGGCAGACTGTCCCTGCTGGCACAGGCCTCCCCCTCTAATGAGGCGTGAAAGAGGGACCAGCCCTCCCTGTGCAGAGGGAATGTGTCACGGACACTTCCCAGGTCCCTCAGCCCCTCACACCCCTGGGCCATGCACCCCCAAGCAGCAGGCTGCCTGCAGCTCAGCTGCTCAGGCTTCTTGTGCTCCACAAAAATATTGATTTCCTTCAGTGCTGTGCCATGAATGTGTTCTGGACTGGAGTGATCTCATCCGGGGGTGGGGGAAGGGATAGGCAGGAGAACGCTGCATCCTCCGCAGCTCTTTGTTCACATCTGCTCCATCCTCACTGCCGAGGTTTATGGCAGGAGATTTCTCTCTGAGATTTCTCTCCTGCCTTGATGTTTTTTAAGTATCTCCTTTGCTTCAGTGGTGGTTCATCTTCCACCAGCATTATCCCCCTCCCAAAGCCGCTCGGCCCTTAATGAAGGGGAAATAAATGAAGGCATTGGAGAACGGGGAGCCCTGCTGCGAGGCAGCTGCAGGGCCTGGCCTGAAAGGAGGCAGCTTGATCAGCCAGCAGTGTGCCTGTGGCCTGGGCTGGCTGCATTTAGCCTCACCCCCAGCTAATTCCCTCTGCCCAGTGCCTGCAGCCAGCCTGGCTGTGTGACCTGTGCTGTAGGTTGCAGAGGCAACACCTGCATGGTACACACGTGGGTTCCTGTCCTACTTACCTGCTTTTTGCATAATGCATTGAACTTTTGCTGTTGCTTTTTTTGCCTGCAGAAATTGCTGTGTTTCTTTCCCTCTCTGCTGCTTTTGCAGGCTGCTTAATGAGGAGTTGTGCATGGTAAAGGTTAGGAACAAACTGTACCTTCACCTGCAGAACATGGGGAGAGGCTGCTTGGAGTGTACAGATGCTGTTAGAGCTGTCCTGCAGCACTGAGTGGAACCTTACCCATCCAGGGACTTTTTTTGCTTCTAACTTCAATACTTCATGTGCTTTATTCTTGCTTTCTTAAGGAGATGGCAGAATGCTGTCCTTCCTGGTAATGCATTTCCAGGAGGGGTGTCCTTCCATCCTTGGCATTCATTTATGTCTCTCCCAGGGGGCTCTTTGTCTGGGCCATGTTGTGACGCTGTGGCCATGCTCCACATGTCCCTGGTGTTCATTTAAGGGGTGCTGATTTGACATCTCCTTTGGGCTGGAGGCAGTTGGAGGCTACTGGAGGGAGGGGTAGGTGTAAAACCTACATGCCATCCTGTCCCCTGTGCTGAAAAGAACATGTCAAGAGGAGAAGATTGCAAAAACAACATTCCAAAAGCAATTCCAGACATCTGAAACCTCCCCAGGCCGCTCCAGCAGCAGCTCATGGCCTGTCTCCTCCAGCTAGTTGTCAGATTTCAAACTTGTCCTGTTTTCTTTGTTCTTCCTTTCGCAAGGAGCTGCTTTTTGTGGGGGAAGGCATGTCTCAGAGAACTCACAAACTGTTGTTTACAAGAGCCCTAGAAATGCTCTGTAAAGTCGAGCTGGTGTGCAGCAGCACTGCCAGGGTGCCCAGGCAGGCAGCAGTGGGTATAGGAGCTCAGGGTGAGCTCTGCCATGGCACAGGGATCTGCCATCCCTCCCTTGGGCTGGAGGCAAGGATGAGCATTCCCCACTTCTTGCTCACTTTGCAGAGCTCTTCTTGGGAACTTTCTTTTTGGAACTCCAGGCCCAAAGCTGTTGTGAGCAAAGACAGCTCAGATAAGCTGGTGCTGCTTTGCTGTGCTCTCCCCTGAGCTGTGCAGGGAACAGGGAAACTTGGTGGTGTGCATGGAAAGGGCAGTTGTGCAGGTTTTCAGGGTAGTTCTTTCCTGATCTCCAGAGAGGGTTGAGGCTGTGTAAGACTGGAGTTGACAATAAGGAGCAATTTAGGCTCCACTTCTCAGTGTAGGAGATCCACATGAGCTCTTTTTAGTGGCTGATGTGTTTACTCCTCTCAAGTCCTTCTCCTCATAGCTAAAATGATGGAGCTCTAGCAGTTTGCTGCTCTTTGTGTTACTGCTTGTCACTGGGGGAGAACACTGAGTTGTGGCAACTAGGCAGGAAAATGCAGATACCTCATATCAGGACTTCTCCTGAGCTGTTTAAGGAGGGAAACACACCCCACAGATGAAGGCAAATCATGCATGTTACCTGGGGCCATGGCAGGAGGTTACTCCTCTCCCCTGCAGTGTCTGTAAAGCAGACAGTGTTGGAGAGTGCATTACCTGGGGCCTTTCACTGACACAAATGCTGTGTTTCTTGTCTCAGCCATAGATTGGAAAGATGGTAAAAAGCACAAGTACAGCCGCCCGGCAGAGTCCCCCTCCCAGTACCAAGGTAAGAGAGCTCCCTTCTGTCCCTTCTTTCTGCCCACTACTTTCTCCCCCTTCTTTTCCCCCCCTTTTTTTTGTCCCTTCTTTTGCCCCTTCTTTTTCCTCCTCCTTTTTCCCCTTCTTTCTCCCGTTCTTTCTTTCCTCCTTTTTCTTCCCCCATCATTCTTCCCTCTTGCTTCTTCCTCATCTTTCTTCCTATCCTCTTTCTTCCCCGTTTTACTTCCCCCCTTCTTTCTTCCTCCCTTCTCCCTTTTGTAAAGTGGCTTGGATGTTGGGAAGCTGCAGCATGCCAGGTGGGGTCAGGTTCTGCTCCCAGGGAACAAGGGACAGGGCAAGACGACACGGCCTCAAGTTGTGCCAGGGAAGGTTTCGATTGGATATTAGGGAGTGTTTTTTTGGCTGAAAGGATTGTCCAGCCCTGGTACAGCTGCCCAGAGCAGTGGTGGAGTCATCATCCCTGGAAGCATTCACAAAACATGTGGATGTGGCGCTTGAGGACATGGTTAGTGGTGAACATGATGGTCTTAGAGGTCTTTTTCAAACTTAAGGATTCTGTGATTCTATTCTATGATCTTGTCTGCCCTTGTCTAATCTTACACTGAAGTGCTGTGGATCACAGTTGGGGAAGAATGTTCTCCAGGGACAGGAAGTTTATTATCACCTCTGTCACCCCATGTTGAGCTCCATGTGACGTTGTGGAGCACCATCACAGCTCACATGGCCTCTGTATAGTCAGGAGCATCATGGCAGTTTCCCCTCTGCTCCAACCACTGCACCATTTTCAAGTGTCAGAGGATGAGCTGTTGGTCAGTGCCCACACTGCCCAAAGGTTGGGTGCACATCTCTGTGGAGCTGGGGGTGTTCAGCCTGGGGAAGAGAAGCTCCAGGGAGACCTTGGAGCCCCTTCCAGTGCCTCAAGGGGCTCCAAGAGAGCTGCAGAGGGACTTGGGACAAGGACCTAAGGGACAGGACACAGGGAATGGCTTCCCACTGCCAGAGGGCAGGGATAGATGGGATGTTGGGAAGGAATTGTTCCCTGTGAGGGTGCTGAGGCACTGGCACAGGTTGCCCAGAGCAGCTGTGGCTGCTCCATCCCTGGGAGTGTTCCAGGCCAGGTTGGATGGGGCTTGGAGCAACCTGGGCTAGTGGGAGGTGTCCCTGCCCATGGCAGGGGGTGGGACTGGATGGTCTTTAAAGTCCCATCCAACCCAAACCAGTCTGTGGTCCTGCACTATGAGGGGGTGACCCTGCAGCAGCTTTCTGGCATGGAGCACCTTGTAATCCAGGCTGGAAGGATTTCTGCTCAAAGCTAACACTGAACTGGGGCAGCTCTGAGGAGCAGGAAAGCAGACACTGTGCTGGTGCTTGAAAGCTGTTAGTTTTGGCTCTCACATTGTCCCATTTCTGCTGGGCAGGACAGTGACTAAGGGGGCCTGTGTTACCCATTGCAGCTGGTACCAGTGGAGCATGGATTGATGGACTGAGCAAAGTGCCTGGGAGTTAGAAGGGGTGGGACAGGCAGGAGCTGTGCTGGGTGGTGGCAGAGCCATGCTCAGACATTGGGGACAGCCACTGCCACCTTCAGATGTGTGAGCCCAGACATTCTCTGCTCAGCTTCCTACTGAGTTGGCTCAAACTGCTGGTCTCCTGTGCTGCCTTGCTGCTCCTTAGCACCACACATATGTGCTGTAGACTGTGCTGGAGAGCCTTGATCTGGGCAGGGCACATTCTCCTTCCCAGATGTGACCTGAGGCACACATGCATTGTTTGAGTTGGATTGATGACCCCTGGGGAGCTGAAATGCTAATGGAGTCCAAACCAGACTTCACTTAAAGACACAAACAGAACCTCCATCTTCATTTACATTCTGCACAAAAGATCAACATTAAATGCAACCTGAGGAGAATCCAAACATGAGGGTGCAGAGCTGCATTGTTCACAGCTACTGGAGTTTGACTCCTTTGGGGGTGTGGAGTGTTTGGTTTGGAGTAAATATTTCTGAAGGTTAAGATATCAGAGCCCAGATCTGACTGTGACTGCAAGTAATATCTCCCTTTGGCATGAGCACACAGCAAGGAGCTTTCCCAAGGCCAGCAGAAGTGACAGACAGGTACCAAAGTGGCAGTTCCACAAGGAGACACAGGGACACCATCCTTGGCTCTTGCTTGGCTCACAGAGATGATTGCAGAAACGGAGTGTTTGTCCTTAAGTGTCTTTCCCTCATTTGTTTCTGTGAAGAAGATCTGATGTGCTGGAGAGAGCTGGATAGGGACTTTGGGCAAGGGCCTGGACGGAGAGCACACAGGGAATGACTTCCCATTGCCAGAAGGCAGGGCTGGATGGGATATTGGGGAGAAATTCTTCCCTGTGAGGGTGCTGAGGCACTGGCACAAGTTGCCCAGAGAAGCTGTGACTGCTCCATCCCTGGGAGTGTTCCAGGCCAGGTTGGATGGGGCTTGGAGCACCCTGGGCTAGTGGAAGGTGTCCCTGCCCAGGGCAGGGGGTGGGACTGGATGGTCTTTAAGGTCCTTCCAACCCAAACCATTCCATGGTATGATTCTGTGTATCCAGAGGATCACAGTCCATTCCAACAGGGATCCTTCCAGCTTGTGGCTCTGCAAGGTAGGGGAGGGAACAGGAAAAAGGAAGAGACAGGTGAAATAGAAAGTGATTTTTGGGCTGATAGGACAATCTGCATGTTGTACTGGACACCAGCAGCAGAGGAGCAAGCATTGCATTTTGCTTTTCAGGGTGAGAGAGGATTTCATTCCCTACAGTCAGCTCTGGCCTTGGACACTCCTGCTCCATCCCCAGTAAAGGGACACTTTAGGCCTGGCTGAAGTGATTCCCTGGCAAGTGCAGAGCAGAAAAGCCACCTGGGTGTTTTGAGCCACACTGAGGAAACAGTTACATGTCCAGGCCAGCTCAGAAACAAGCATCTGGCAGACTGACCCATCCTGTCCCTCTGCAGTGAGGCATCCAGTTTGTTAATGTGGGTAAGAATACTGAGAGAATATAAAATACAACACAATTGTCAGTGCTAAGGAGCAAGCCAAGCAAGATGTTCTGTTTGCCTCTGACCTTACAGCCTCCACCCAGAGTGAGGCTGCAGAATGGCACTGGTGGCACCCAGCAGCTTTGGTGTCCTGGGTGTCAGAGGTTCCAGGGGAGCTGAGTGTTGGCAGTGTGCAGGGATCAGTATGTTGAGCAGGATCTGGGTACAGCCCAGCTGAGGGTGAGAGCTCCAGGTGTGATTCATCCCTCCTCCACCACACTCAGCACAGGGCTCAGGTCTGGTGCTCTCCTCCATCAGCGAAGCCTCAATGCATCCTGCTTTTTTGTTTCACAGCTCTCCCTTTGCTGTAAAAAAACCCAACTTCTGTGCTAAGCTATTTTCTTCTCATTCTTCCTGCAGTTCTTAGGTCAAAGCTGATTGTTGATTTGGTTAAGTTTAGGTGAACTGTGAAATTCCTGCTTGAAAAAGGTTATATTGTGAGCTAGATACTATCACTGAGTTAATTTGAACCCATTCCCTATATTCTGTGCAGTTTCCTCTCATGCCTAAGGAGTGGTGGCAGCCTCCAGTTGCAATTTCTGTCCTGGTTTGAGAGTAACCCTGAAAGAGAAGTGCAGCTGTACCTGTGCTGGTTGTGCTGTGTGTGTGTGTGAGGAGGTGGCTGGGAGTGCACAGAGAGGGAGGGAGAGGAGGCTGAATGCTGATCTATCAGCTCTGTCTTCTCTTACAGTTTAGAAAGGTTTTTCTGCTGCTTTTCTTTGCAAATAAATTACCACAACTATGAGTAATAAGAATCAGAGAATCACAGGATCTCCTGAGCTGGAAGGGACCCCCAAGGATCACCAGTCCAACCCCTGCCCTGCCCAGAACACCCCAACAATCCACCCTGGGCCTGAGAGCATTGGCCAAACACTCCTGGAGCTCTGTCAGCCTTGGGGCTGTGACCACTGCCCTGGGGAGCTGTTCAGTGCCCAAACACCTCTGGGGGAAGAACCTTTGCCTAATCTCCAGCCTAACCCTCCCCTGACACAGCTCCAGACGTTCCCTTGGGTCCTAAAGAAGCTGCAGTTGTAGTGCTGTGTGTGTCTTCATATGGTGGTTGGGTCCCAACAGGCTCTACAATTAATCCCCAATCAGTTCCATGCCCAGACAATATTTTTAGAGGCTACAGCTGCCTCAGACATTTACTGCTCCCTCTGGGGTGGTGCAGTGTGGCTCTGCTGTGGGGTGAGCTGCTGCAGGGAGCAGGACAGCCTGGCCTGGTGTGAAGGGAGTGAAAAGTGGAGGGATTAAAACCATGACTACTTTTAATAGGGAGGGATTGAAACCAGCTGAGGGCAGGGGAGGGTTTGTTTTCAAATCAAATTGTCAAGTGCAGCTGATCCTGTTCAAGCCATTGGCTCAGGGCCTGAGGCTGGCACTGCTCACCCACTGCTGTCACTGTGGGCATACTCTGCTCCAGGGTCAGGAGACTCTGCAGGACCATCCTGGACTGGGAGCCCAGATCAGCAACCACAGCTACGGATGGGATGCAGGAGGTGTTTCCAGGCTGGGAGTTGCTCTGCCTGTTTGCTCCACATTATTCATACAAGGAGTTTCATTGACCTGAGTGTAAAATCATCTCTTCAATTAAAGCAAACCCATGTTGGTTTGTGAGAGCATCGTTGCAGTAACTCACTGGATTTCTTTATTTACCTGGTGTGAGACTGACTGAAAGGAAAACATTTCCAAAGGATGGAACTGAGTCCTCTGGAGCATGGAGAGCTGCTGTCAGTCTGTACACAGAGATCCTTAGCCAATGTGGCAACCAAACTGTATTTTCCATTTGTTTTCCCTGTGTCTAACAGTCTGCTAGTCATCTGCATGGGAGGTGGCAAGAAAGCAGCATTCCTTCTATTTATTTGGAACCTGTGGATTATGAAGGCTCCTCTGTGCATGAGGCAGTACTGGAGCAGTGAGTGCTGACCTTACTGCCTTAATTTTCAGAGGTGTGATGTGCACTGCAGTAACTAAAACAGCCTTAATGCAGCTTTTGTTTGGAAAATAGACTGATTCAAACTTGCCGTGGCTCAGAGAGGCAGGGGCTGACTTGAATTGTGCTGCCACCAATGCTTCTGAAATGCCTTGAAAACAGTGGTCTCCTGGGAGCTGTTGAGATGAATACAAGTGAATGTCATGCTGGAAGGATCCTCTCCAGCTGCTCAGTTTAAATGGCAAAAGTCATGATTTGCTCAGATCACAGGAGCTTTTAATTCCTCATTTAATCACAGCTTTCCCTGGGTGGCATATGTCTCACCCTCCCTGCTGCATGTGGGGAAGCTGCAGGCAGGGATGAAATGAGCTTCCCCCGACAGCAGCACTCGGTGAAGGAGAGTTGGTGTTGGGTGTGAGTTGCTGAGCTCAGTAAATCAGAGTTTCATAGTATGTTAAGGGGGTTGGTATGGACCTCAAAGATCCTCTAGTCCCAGCCCTCTGCCCCTGCCCCCAGAGCAGGTTGCTCAAGGCTTTAGCCACCCTGGCTCTGAACACTGCCAGGGTTGGGGCAGCCACAGCCTCCCTGGGCAACCTGGGCCAGTGTCTCACCACCCTCACAGGGAAAACTTCTGCCTAAGATCTAACCTAAATTTCCCCTTTCCATTTCTCCCCATTGCTCCTTATCCTGTCCCTGCAGTTCCTAACCAAGAGTCTCTCTGCAGCTTCCCTGGAGCCCCTTCAGCTCCTGGCAGGTTGGTCTGAGCTCTCCACACAACCTTCTCTTCTCCAGGCTGCACAGCCCCAACTCTCTCAGCCTGTCCTTGTACAATCCCTGTTTGGAGGGTCCCTGCTCCCATCCTGCCCAAGCTGAGCACTCCATGGGCACTTCAGGAAGTGAATTGCTGCCCTGTCCACTGATTGCTGGGACTGACTGGTCCCTGCTCCAAGCTGCTGACCTGTGGGGCAGGAATTGTGTGTGCTGAAACAGGGGGACCATACAGTCAGCACAGAGCAGGTTCCTGACGATTTAGGAGTCACAGAGTGGCTTGGGTTGGAAGAGACCTTAAAGATCACCCAGTTCCAGCTGCCAGTTTGGACTCCTTGTACCCCACAGTGACCGTGGGCAGTCCCCAGTCTGGGTGATGTGTTTAACAATGGTTTTTCAGGGCAGTTGTCTGGAGGACTCTATGCACTCCCATCTGTGCTGCGTGTTTCCCATGAAGGTGTGGGTTGTTATCCTGGCTCTGTGCAGCCCCTTCCAGGCAATGTGGAGGCAGGAGGATGCTGAAGGCAGCACTGGGCTTTGTTCTGCCTGTCAGCTGCAGCTGTAAATCTTCTGTGTTCACAAACATCAGAGGTTCCTGATGAAAACGTGTTGCCTGTGAGCACCTCCTCTGTGAGCAGTGCAGAACTGCTGCTGGTAGGGGTCTGGCCAGCTCTGAGATCGTTGCTCATCTGTTCCTGTTTGAATCCTGTTGTTTTCACTTCTCAGGTCACTTCACCTGGGAGAAATACCTGAAAGAGACATGTGCCATCCCAGCTCCTGCCCATTGCTTCAAGCAGGTAAGAGAGTAAAAGCAAGAAAGGTCAAGGGCAGTGTTCCACTGCGGCCCCAGGAGTTCTGTGCCTGGGACAGGCCTGTAGTTTTGCAAGGAGGATACCTGAGGATATCAGAGACTTGATAGAAATCCAAGTGTGCTGAAGCAAAGATAGAAGAGATACATTTAGGTCATGCAAATCTTAGAGCAGCAGAGAGGATTTTACTCTCAGATGTGCATGATGGGGACAGAGGATGTTTTTACTCTGCCAAGCACAGGCCCTTAGAGGAAGGGTCCTGAGTAGGCTGGGATCCTGATTGGGATGGGTCCTGCCCCATAAGATTTCCTGCAGAATTCCCCCAGTCTTTGTGACTGGAATAGCAGCCCCTGGACAGCAGGTGCTGAGCACAGAGGAGGTCGTGCTGAGTGCTGAGTATGCAGGAGTGAAGCTGGGGTACACCTAGGGCTGGGCAGAGGGGCAGCAGCACAGGGAGTGTTTGCTTGGGTCTGAGTTGGCTGGGTCAGTCTTCCAGGAACAGGGCTGATCCCCCTGTGGGGCCACACCTTGAATCCTGGGAGCAGTTTGGGACCCTCACAATAGGAAAGACATTGGTGCTGAGTGTGTGCAGAGAAGGGAATGCAGCTGGGGAAGGGGCTGGAGCACAAGGAGTGGCTGAGGGAGCTCAGCCTGGAGAAAAGGAGGCTCAGGAGGGACCTTCTGGCTCTCTACACCTGCCTGCCAGGAGGTGCAGCCAGGTGGGGTCAGGCTCTACTCCCAGGTAATAAGCGGCAGGACAAGAGGATGCACCTTAAGCTGTGTCAGGGGAGGTTCAGGTTGCTTATTAGGGAAAATTTCTTCCCTGAAAGGGTGGTAAGGCACTGGCACAGCTGCCCACAGAGTCATCATCCCTGGAAGTGTTCAAAAAACAGAGATGTGCTGCTTGGGGACATGGGTTGGTGGTGGCCTTCGCAGCACCGATGGAGCAGTTGGGCTTGATGATCTTGGAGGGCTTTTCCAGCCTTAATGATTGTGTGACTCCAAGAGAAGAGTGTGGTTCCCTAGATGATGCAATGTGGAAGGACTGTGGTCTGTGGTGCAGACTTTCCAGGGCTTGCTGAGCTTCCTGTGCTGCTCTGTGTGCTCTGTGCTCCTGAGCTGTGTCTGGAGGATACTCTCAGGCTTCGGTGGACTCGGTTTCAATGCTCTTAGTGCTCGAACTTTGTCCCTGAGCAGGTGCAGGCACTGGTGTCTCTAAGTACTAAGTACTCTCTGTTCCTCTCTGTGCAGTCATACACTCCCCCCACCAATGAGTTCAAGATCAGCATGAAGCTGGAGGCTCAGGACCCACGGAACACCACGTCCACGTGCATTGCCACCGTGGTGGGGCTGACGGGCGCGCGCCTGCGCCTGCGCCTCGACGGCAGCGACAACAAGAACGACTTCTGGAGGCTGGTGGACTCTGCTGAGCTCCAGCCCATTGGCAACTGTGAGAAGAATGGGGGGATGCTGCAGCCTCCCCTGGGTGAGTTTGGCTGTAACGCAGGGGGTGTGCTGGGAAGGACCCTGGTGGTGTATAGATCTGTGCTTGGGACAGAGGCTCATGGCCTGCGCCTGCCTACACTGACATAGAGCACATACACAGACAGATGTATCCCACACGAGGTCTGGATTTCCATGTGGACATGATGACATGGATAGGAAGATGATGTAGAGTGTAGATGAAAGCTCTCCACACTGAGGTGAGCTGTTTGCCTTCCTTGTAGCTCAAGCTCAGGATTGTTGCCTCGAGAGGCTGTGGCTGCCTCATCCCTGGAAGTGTTCCAGGCCAGGTTGGATAGGGCCTGGAGCAACCTGGGCTAGTGGATTGGAACAAGATGCATTTTAAGGGCCTTTCCAGCCCAAACCATTCCATGATTCCATGTTTATGTTAGCACCAAATCTGCCATTTTTTTCTGTTCCCTTCATGCCTGCTGCTGTGCCTCTGTTTGAAGTCTCAGTCCCAGGGTGCAGCCCATCAGGTGTGGGTACCTGGCCCACCTGTCCCCGTGGGTTGCTCCGTGCCGTGCCTGGACTGTGCCAGCAGATGTCACCAAGGGGAACAAACTCCAGAGCCAAACTCGCTGCTGTGTGTTCCAGAGGAGAGGAGCAGCGGTTGGGAGAGGGCTGGGAGCTCTGCTCTCTGTGCCCTGATCTGCTCTGTGTGCCTGGCTCTGGACTGTGGCACATGCTTAACCTCGGACCAGACAAGAGGGCAGGTTTAGATTAAATGTTAGGAAGAAAGCCTTCCCTGTGAGGGTGGTAAGGCACTGGCACAGTTTGCCCAGAGCTGTGACTGCTCCATCCCTGGAAGTGTTCCAGGCCAGTTTGGATGGGGCTTGGAGCAGCCTGGGCTAGCAGAAGGTGTCCACCGTGGCAAGGGGTGGGATGAAATGAGCTTTAAGGTTCTTCCAACCCATTCCAGTCTGTGGTTCTGTGACAAGAGAGGTTCTCTTACACCCAGCATAAAGACAAGTAACAGAGAGCTAGTGCTGCAGTTGTCCTTCCAGCCTGCAGAGTGCAAGGGCTAAGGAAAACCAGCAAGGATTTTTTATGTTCCTTGTAGTATTTCCCATGTTCAGCAGCTGCTGCTCCTTCTTTACATAGATAATTCCAGTGACAGGACCCAGGAAATGGTCTGGAGCTGTGTCAGGGGAGGGTCAGGCTGGAGATTAGGCAAAGGTTCTTCCCCCAGAGGTGTTTGGGCACTGGAACAGTTCTGCAGGGCACTGGTCACAGCCCCAAGGCTGACAGAGCTCAAGGAATGTTTAGCCCATGCTCTCAGGCCCAGGGTGGATTGTTGGGGTGTCCTGGGCAGGGCAGGGGTTGGACTGATGATCCTTGGGGATCCCTTCCAGCTCAGGAGATCGTGTGATTCACATAAAAGGTTATATTTGCCCCTCTGGGAGCTGAGCTTCCCCATTCCCTGAGGCTGTGGCTTGCTGGGTTGGTTTCCAAGCTGCTCTGACAGGGCTGGCAGAGTGGCCTGTTCTGAGCAAGATGTGTTCTGGCATTGCATCCTTGGCAAAGCTTTGCATGGGCTGCTCTGCCAAGGTCCTGTCCCAGGGTTACCTTCAAAACCTGACAAACACAGACCAAACACAGCTGAGCAGTATAAATTGCCTGTGCTGGAAGATACACATTTAGCAGAGATGTTTCATGATGTGCAGAACCTTCTGCCAGTTGTGTAGTCATACTCAAGAGCCACAGACTCAGAGCATGTGCCTTTGCTTTGTTCTTCCCATAAGCCCTTCCTGTTATTTCTCTACTTCTCTTTCACAGAAGGTGTCAAGCTCAAACCTGCCATTCCTCCCTGGAATGGCTATATCTGTTTCCCAGCCAAGCCACAGCCTCTTTATTTCTTCAGGTTAGCTTGCCTGCAGCTCACACTGAGGGTGGAGGAGGCCACCCAGAAGCTGAGATTCCTTATTGAGTCAGAAATTCCATAGCCTGAATAGTGGATTCCATCCACTTGCTGATTCATGTCTCCCTGTAGCAGCATCCCTGGAGCTGCCAGCTGACCAGCTTTGCCTGGTCAGTGCACAGACTGTTGTTACAGCAAGTGAACATTGCAGTCAGGCACCTCCAGATGTTTCTTTTCAATGACATCATGCTTTGTGTTGAGAGGATCTGGAATGGGTCAAAGCAGACCCTGCAGCATGAGGAGGAGGGTGGAGTGGGATCACAGTTCCAATCAGAGCAGGGATATGCTCCCACACCCAGTGCCCCCCACAGCCTTACGGTGTCCTCTCTGCTTCCTTCCCCGCAGGCTTTCGGCTGAATGCCTCCTCCTGGCCCATGTTCCTCCTGAAGACTCTGAATGGAGCAGAGATGGCTCCTGTCCGGATTTTCCACAAGGTATTTGACTCTGCACACCCTTGTGGCATGGCCCCTTCACTGCAGAGCAGCACGTCAGAGCTGGGGTCTGGGGAGAGCTGGGCTGATGCCCGAGGAGGTGACACTGCTGCTGCTCTGGGACAGACCTGTGCCCTCTCCAGCTGTGCCACAGCAATGTCAGGATGCAGCCAGAGCTCTGCTAAGGAAGTGACTTGGGCTTCTGTGCTCAGGCTTGAGACATGAGCTTGTGTTTCACTGAGGCTGCAGGTGCTCCTCAGAATGGGGAATACAGGATGGGAAAGTCAGCACCCCTCTGAAACTGTTCCATGTGCCAGAGCAGATATTGCTGTGAGGCAGCACAGCCATGGTTTGTGTTCTCACACCTTTAGTGCAGCCAGAGAGAGAAGCCAGGCTAGAGGTGTATGCTGGGGGATAGGTTGGGATGGGATGCCTGGTGAAGTGGATTGCAAGAGCAAGCCCCACATAGGGGTAGATGGCAGATCTCTCACAGAGCTGGAGGTGGGGGAAGAATGATGGAGAGACACTGTCATATCTCAGGGTTTCCTGCTCTGAGATAACAAGGGGAGAGCTTCCTATGGAGCTCTGTCTTTGGAGCTCTGTTTTCTACCCGTAGTGCATGACAGAACAGTCCCAGGGCACAGTGCTCACGGGACACTCCCTGGGGCTGGTGCAGCAGCCAGGTGAGGGCAGAGCAGGCAGTAATGGACTTCATTGCCTTGACCTAAAAGGCTATGTAGCTGTGCCAGTGTGTACACATCTCTTGGGGTTCAAATCCAGCCCACTAACTCCCTTCTTCAGGTGCTCATGGAGGTCAGTTTGGAATCATAGAATTTTAGGGGTTGGAATGGAGCTCAGAGATTACTCAGTGCCAACCCCCTGCCCTGGGCAAGGACATCTCCCACCAGAGCAGGTTGCTCAAGGCTTTAGCCAACCTGGCTGTGAACACTGCCAGCTGCTTGAAGAACAAAGACAGAAATAGATTTATGAATGTAAAAGGATGCACTATGTTGGTTTATGGTGTCCAGTTGTGTGTCTTCTCAAGTGGCTTTTCAATTGATCAAGGGACAGCAGTATAGATTGATAGAATCTCCCCATTATCAAGATTGGAGGAGACCTCTAAGATCTTCGAGTCCAGCCCTTAAACTTTTTCTGATGTAACCCTTAAATCCTAAACCATATCATCCAGTGCCACATCCAGACACTTCTTATAAACTTCCAGGGCTGGTGACTCCTGCTGCTGAGGACACAGCCCTGGTGTGGGAACACACTGACATAGCCCTTTGAGCACATTTTCCACTTCTTCTTGCAGGAACCACCATCTCCATCCCAAAACTGCCCTTAAACTTTTTCTGATGTAACCCTTAAATCCTAAACCATATCATCCAGTGCCACATCCAGACACTTCTTATAAACTTCCAGGGCTGGTGACTCCTGCTGCTGAGGACACAGCCCTGGTGTGGGAACACACTGACATAGCCCTTTGAGCACATTTTCCACTTCTTCTTGCAGGAACCACCATCTCCATCCCAAAACTTCTTCAAGACAGGTATGAAGCTGGAGGCAGTGGACAGGAAGAACCCTCACTTCATCTGCCCGGCCACCATTGGGGAGGTGAGAGGTTCTGAGGTCCTCATAACATTTGATGGCTGGAGAGGTGCCTTCGATTACTGGTGCCGATATGATTCCCGGGACATCTTTCCCGTAGGCTGGTGCTCGCTGACTGGAGATAATCTGCAGCCCCCTGGTACTAAAGGTAAGGCCCATGTTGTTGCTTAGCTGGCTTCCTCCTCCACTCAGCTCTCAGAGAGCAGCAGCACAGGCAGAGGCCCCAGATCATACCTAGGGCAGGGAAGCAGCCTGGGGTCGAGGTGCTAGGGAGCAACTATCCATAAGGATGGGCAGGATGATGGTTCTGGGCAGTGCTGGGGCTGTGCAGCATTGCTGAGCTCTGCTCCTCTTCAGGATTTTCTTGGAGCCTTTCCTGCATCTTTGCAACACATATTCCTTCGGAGTTGTGCTCTGGGGACTGGATTGTCTATAGTGGAGTACTGATTTCTCTGAAGCTGCAGGACTGTGCTGTTTGAATTTGTGATGGTTTTCTTGCTCTGCCTTACGCTGTGGCTGTGGGAAGAGCAGGTGTGGTGCAGGTTGTACCTGCCTTGCTCCTAGGACTGGGATTGTTGGGTAGACTAGGGAATGTGCTGCCATGCAGAGGCCCTCAGCGTTGGCTGTGTTGATCCTCAGACACATCTCTAGCTTAGTCACATTGCAGTTGTGTTCAGGCCCAGGGAGTTGTCACTGTCCCCAGGCATATCCCTCTGGCATTTGCTGGCTGGCACGTGCCTGTCAGAGAAATGAGAGGCAGGAAAGCAGCCTGTGCCAGAGCTGAAGGGTTGCTGAGGAAAGGCCTTGCTCTGACAAAATTGTTCCTCTGGAAAATCCAGGGCCATCTGATGCTGCCGTTGATGTGAGAGCTCTGTGCTCCATGCTGCAAGGTCTGTGTTTGTGGATTGCCTGAGGACATCTCTCATGGCCCGTGTGCAAACCAAGCTGGGGATCCACTTGGGTGGGGATGATTCCTGTTTGGCTTGGATTTCTCCATTTGGCCTTGATGTTCCCAGCCTCTCCCTCTCTTCCCACTGGTTGTTTGCCCACTGCCACCCTGCAGGCTCTGCAGGGCTCTGGGGTTCTCCTGGCCAGTGCCCGACCCCTCCAGCAGTGCCCTGGGGTCAGGGGCTCTCTCTGAGCATCTCCAAGGTGCTTCTGAGGTACTGCATAAGTGGCTAAAGGCATATTTGTGTTGGGTGGAGCTTTCCTGGCAGTAGAGTGGGGGTGGAAGGTGCCTTCTCAGGAGAAGTGGGAACCTCCATCTCCCCCATGGTGCAGGAAGCTCTATGCTTCCCCTTGCTAAGGGCTGTGAGTGAGCAGAGCCCAGTTATTATCCAGAAATAACACCCCGTCGTGGGCCTGGTGCTGGTAACTTGGAGCCATCCTGAGAAGCTTCCTGCACTCCCTCCTTGGCATGTGGCAGTGGCAGGTTCTCCCTGTTGCTCCATCAGCTCCATCAGCAGTGACTCTGCAGTTCCTGCTGGTGTACAAATAATGACCCTCAAAGTCACATCTTCCCACTCCCAGGCAGGGGCAGCCCTTGCTCTCAGGCACATTTCTGCTCTTTGCCCTTTTTTTCAAGTCCTGGGACAAGAGCAGGGGTTGGCAAGGCTTGCATGAGCCATGCAGCAGTGCTGTGGAGTCAGGATCAGCCTTGTCTGTGGTATTTTACTCCCCCTTCTGTGGCTCTTCCCTCCCTTTTGAATGAGAATCTCCTCCAACAATCAAGATTGGAGGAGACCTCTAGGATCATTGAGTCCAACCATTAACCTGTCACTGCTTTAACCCTTAAACCCTAAATCATAGCCTCCAGTGCCACTTCCAGACACCTCTTAAACACCTCCAGGGCTGGTGACTCCACCACCTCCCTGGGCAACATCCCAGTGCCTGAACACACTAAAAGGGAGAACATTTCCCTAACATCTCCTCTGACTCTGCCCTGTCTCAGCTCGAGGACATTCCCTTTAGTCCTTTCCCTGCAGCCATGGCAGGAGAGACATCCCCCACCTGCCCCAGACTTTGTAATTTCCACTTTGTGGGATTAAACCAAAATAACAGAGTACTGGGAACTTTCTCTTCCTCCCTTGTTCCTTCACTCCCCAGCCCTGCTGTTTGGGAGAGTTGAGCACAGTCCTCCCAGACTCGAGAGTGCTGCTCTTGGCAGGATTGGAGGATGTGTCACTACAGTGGGATCCCCTTTCCGCCAGCTCAAACACACCTTCCCTGTGTTCCAGCCTGGAGCCTGCAGGACGTGGTGGAATCAGGCAGGTTCCTTTCCTGCTGGGGATCCCCCTTAAATCAGGGAGGCCCAGAGAGATAAGCAGAGGGTCAGTGCTCCTGTGGTTATAATGAGCTCTGCTCACATCCTGGACTGAGGTGCTGGTGGCACTTGGGGAGTCTTGTGAAGAGTTAACTCCCTGGAGACTGATGGTTTCCTGGGGCCTCCTGGGATGAGCTCATGTTCAAGGGAAGCAGAACTTCAAAGAGGACAGGCATGTTTGTTTAATATAGCTCTGCTGCTGGTTGCAGAGGAGGTGGAGGAGTGCAGGGCTGCTCCAAGGCACAGCTCCTTTCCCCATCCAAGGCCTCCCACTCCCACCAGTGTTTGCTTAGCTGGGGTGGCTGGGCAGGGGGCTGGTGGGGCTAGGGCCTGGCCAGCCACGCTGAGGGCACATGTGTGTGTGAAGGGAGGAAAGGGAGTTCAGATGGCAAGGAGGAGCAGCCTGCACAGCAGGTTGGTAATTCCATGGCTGTGCAGAAGTCTGCTGGAGGGCTCCGAGTGGCTGGGGGGGCTCCCAGGCATCTCCTGGAGCTCCTCTCTGCATGCAGCACACTTGGAGCTGAGCAGTCCCAACCAAATGTGACACAGGAGACATCACTCTGGAGGTGCCTGCGCACACGGTGGGGCCTGGGTCCCTCTGCTCCTGTCAGCCTGGTGCTGGGCTCAGAGCGTGGCTTTGCTGGGCTGCACTGCAGGGTGCAATGTGGGAGAGCATCTGTGGCTTCTCCACACCAGCCTGGCAGCTGCTGGGAGAGGCAGGTCCCCATGGCATCCCAAAGGGAGGGATGTTCTGTAGGAGTGCAGCACACTCCCTCCAGTGTCCCAGCCACACCAGTGGGGCACTCCAGGATTGTCCCTTGGCCAGGAATCCCCACTCCACCCCTCACACGTGGTGTACAGCAGTTTACATGTCTCTAGCACACAGGTATTTTTACCCCTAACCACTCTCCTAGGCTTTTAGGGATAGGAGTGAGGTGTCGTCCCTGCTGGGCATCCCTGGGCCCTGGGTGGGAGCTCTGTGGGAGGACAGACTGTCAGTGACAGCTGCTACACTCCCCTTGCTCAGGAGGTGCTCAGGACTTGGGAGAACACTTCAGAGTTTTAGGAATTAGGTTTCTTTCACTGTTTCTGGTAGAGCTGTTTGCATGTTCATCCCTACTGAGTCACACACTTGTCCTAGAGAAACACCGACTGAGAAATATTTATATATCACAGACATAGACATGAAACAACTGCATTAAGGTCTGTGAGGCATCAAACCTGAACTTCCTGCAAAGGGTTTGGACTCTCCTGTTGCTTCGTGGGGTCAAAGTTCCAGAATTAGGCCAAACAGAGGAGAATGGTGTTCCCAACTTTAGATACTGCAGCACAAAAGTGAGGCCAAAATACAGTGTGTGCATGTTTCTAACAGCGTGGGGTTTGTCAGCAGAAGCCCCTGAAGGTGTGTTGAGTGGGAAGAAATGGCCCACAGCTGCCAGGCCTGTGTATTTCCTGTTGGAATTGCACAGTGACCCAGCTGGGATCACAGCAGGTGCAGGACAGGACATGGCTGATGGTTCTCAGGCTGAGACCTTCAGGGTTTGGGTGAAGTTGTGACACACACAACAGTGCACAAGTCTGTGTGATATAGCAGTGTTTGGTAGGAGTGTCATTCAGGAGGAAAGCAGAGATTGAAGGAGGAAAATATGTGTGTCAGGTGTGGTGGGTTGTCCTGGGAGGGGGCAGCTGAGCCCCCCCAGCTGCTCACTCATCCCCCAGTGGGATGGGGGAGAGAATCCAGAGGGTAAAGGTGTGAACACTGGTGGTTTGAGACACAGACAGGGTAGCAGGCGAAGCAGAGCTGTAGGTGCACTGCCAAGCCAGGCACTCAGTCACTGCTCCCCACCACAAGCAGGGGCTCAGCACCCCCAGGACAGTGAGCTCACTCCCATGGGATGGAGGCTGGGGACAGCAAACACCATCACTCCATTCCCCTTCCTCCTCTCTCCCTCAGCTTTATACACTGAACAGGTGCTGTATGGCCTGGGATGTCCTTTGGGGCAGTTTGGTCTCAGCTGTGCCCCCTCCCAGCTCCCTGTGCCCCTCCAGCCCAACACTGGCTGTGAGGACCAGAGCAGCCCTTGGCACTGTGCTGGCACAGCACAGCTGAGCCCTGGGGTGTTGTCAGCTCTGCTTTGGGCACAGACCCAAACACAGCAGCACCAGAGCTGTTGTGCAGAAAGTTAACTCCAGCCCAGCCCAGTGCTTTTGAAAGACTTTGTGCATGTGTTTTATGTCTTCTAACCTTCCTGCCCCTTGGGGAGCCTGTGGGCAGCTCATGGCTCTTAAATAGGAGAGAAACTCCTGCTCTCAGGTCACTCCATAAGTGGAGTATGGGTTTGGGAAGCTGCTTGGAGAGTTCCTCTCCATTATAAGCAGTACAGAAAATCAATATTTAGGATGACCTAAAGAATAAGGATTGTTGTTTTAGTTACTTTAAATCATGTCTAGGGAGAGAGAGAGAGAGATGCATACAGGAATGGAGGTGCTGCTGCTGCTGAGCTTCAGGGAAAGGAGGAGGGAAATGACCATGATAAAAATCAGTGAGAAGAAAGGAAGAGAGATAAGAGGTTGGTTAATGGTTGTAGTTTCAGGGCCATCTGCCTTCAGGGAGGTGGGATGAGGGACATCCCTGCCAGCCAGACATGGCCTTGTGGAGCTATGTGTCTGCCTCCAGTCTGTGGGAAATTTGGGGGTTCACAAACTAGAGGAAAGTTCAGATCTTTGTAATCAGGGAATCACACACTGCAAGAGGATCCCTGAGAAGTTACTCTCCTTTCTGAAGTGGTTTGTGGGCTGAGAGCTGTGAGCCCCTGGGGAAGAGG